GATAGTATCGGGAGGTGCAAGCCCAGCTTGATAAGAACTACAGGACAGGAGCTCAGCCTGATTTACTTTACACAACTACCTACTTATTGTGATAAAGTAGGCATGTTTGGTTGTAATACATTCATACGCTTCGGACGCGTTGACAAAAATGGTGGAGGTTATAAAAAGCGAGGCTACAGTTAATGAGCAGTATGCGACGTTTTCTTCATAAATAACAGAAATTGGTGATACTTCTGGGCAGAATGGGTACAGCTTGTAGTTTGAATACTGCAAGTATATTTGAAAAGTAGTGTATTCGGAAAGTAGTAAAGGCTCAAAGAAGTGCCTTCCCCCTTCTCTTCCGCTCTATCTAAAGCTCATTCATACACTGACCAACAGTTGGGTTTCGAGATTGGTGAAACTAACGTGGACTGCCTTGCATATCATGATGATGAAGTCCTCACTGCTCAATCACCCGCTCGACTACAGGTACGTCTTGATGGTTAGCTGAGGGATTAGTCCTCGCTGATATGCAATTAAAACCCTCGAGATTCACCTTCCTTTTCATCCAAGCCTTAGGAAAGCAGAAGAGCTCCTGTCTCCGACCCTGCAACGTTCTCGTAAGTGCAATGGCTCTGTCTTCGCTTGGGCCACAGGATAACTTCAAATACCTGGGTGTCCCCTTCTCATACCGCGGGAAGCAGCCTATCCGCCATCTGCCGGTCCTTCATGATATGATGACTGAAGTATCTCAAGCTCCGCTCAAACCTCAACAGCGATTTGCTTTTCCAAAACGCTACTGTGTTCCCCAGTTACTGCATGAACTGGACCTCGGAACTACTCATCGCAACACACTGAAGAGACTTGATGTGCAAATCCGACAGACGGTGCAAACTGGGCTTGCAGTGCCGACCGTCACACCAACCTCCTTCCTCTATGCAAAAATTCGTGACGGGGACGTTGGTGTCCCATACCTGAAAACTCTCGTCCCTACTGTGAAGCGCCGACGCCTGGACAATGTGCTCAGCTCAAAAGAACCTGTGGTTAGAACAGCCGATACAATTCCTTCTGTCTTCTCTAGCATGCGGCTTGCCGCTGAGCCAGTGCGAATAGGCTGCAACGTCTTGACCTCAAAAAAGACGGTCAAATATATTGGAGAGACGCCCTCTACAACTCCGCGGAGGGCCGCGCCCGTGGTCATTTCGCCAAATCTACCTGGGCTAATCACTGGCTCTCCTACTCTGATCGAGTGTTTCTCTGGTTGT